TAGGAGGACAGTATAGATTATCTAACTGACGAATCCAACGGATTAGTGTCTTTTCCTGTGAGTCATCAAGGGTCTTGGTTGAGATAGGACGTGTATTTCGAGTAGCTCGGCCATGAATACGTGCTCTGAGTCGATAATAAGGAACGTCAAATTGACGCGCCAACGCAGAGACATTTGGTTTTTTTTGGCCTTGAGCAGCTGTACAGGCCTCTAGGATTCGTTTCTCAATATCAGAATAAGAATTAGGCATGGTGGTGGTAGATAAAATCTCTGAATAGCTTCAAATTTTGCGTTGAAGTGGGAATTTGCGTTGAGGTGAGGCAGACCAACACGCCGAATGGCGGGTGGGTCTGCTGATGTAAGAGACGGCTAAATGTTTCATAGCCAGAGTCCACTGCAGCCGCAGGTGGGTCTCAGGTAGAATACGGAACGGGGTCGGGAGCACCTTAACTGCACTGTGGGGTCTAAGACCAGGAAGCTCCTCCTACCGCTTGCTCTTGGGGACCATTATATGTACGTACACCATGCCACATCCCAACAAGGTAGACTATATGCGAATCACGTTTCAACAAACTATAGGCGTCCTGGGATCATCCTTTCTACCTGCTGCAGCACGATTCCGTCTTCATCATCTAATATCATTTTTCATCCTCTCGTATATCTTCTTCCTGAATCTGGTAGATAGATTTTATGCGTTTGAATTCACGATTTAAAAGAAATCCTATGTTGGCTACCACCCAGGTCCAATATAAGCCTTACAATATAGATTAGCGTTAATAGCGGATATAGTAAGATGAGTCCTTTTCAGTATAATCAGGCCTCTTAACCTTGGTCTACCTTCTACTATAAAAGGCCGTTGGATCCTTTAAATCTACTAAAATACGCACAAAGCTACAATACCAACAACTAATAGTATACATTAGAATAGATAACTATTACTTCAAGTAGAAGGTATTGCCTTTCAATAAAAGAGTAGTGTCGTTTCTTCAATACATTATGACTGGTAGCTAGGTTAGTAGTAAAAACCAAGTAAGTTTATAATATAATTTATCAGTTCTGCTGGCTGAGATTGATAAGGCCCTGTTGGTTGCGGAGTGGCCGCTATTTATGTCCCTCCGTAGCCGAACTATACTCTGAACGACTTAACAGCTCATACTGCTACTGCTAGGACTACGTTTCGCCTCCGACAGGCAAGTATCACAGAATAACAGCCGTACTTATACTAAGGGGAGATGTATGTATTGTATCTTAAATGAGAAAGGTTTATTAATCCAATAGAGAAGGGAACGTCAAGTAACCAAAGGAATGTCATATCTCGTCACATCATCAAATCCATGCAACGGGTCTGTTGTGCCCCAAATGCCCAACGCCGATATTAAAACACGATCTAATTAAAAGTCTAAAGCTCGAAATGTGAAAAGAGGAAAAGAAATGCTCAAATCTCATCAATAACAACCACCCGTTCCACCACCCAATCCACAAAGGCCTGTCCTTCCATTTTCCACCGGCCCTCCCGCCATACTTCATCCAGCCAGTAGCTCAGGTTCTTCCCTTGGCCTGGCAACGATATCCCGCCGGCTGACTTGTTCTGCCGTGAGAAGGACCTGTTGACCTGGAAAGACCGGACTCCCACGCTTGCCATGCCTTGCCGCATGCGCCATTCGCGTTCGGCTTTCTCGCCCGCACGACGCGCGACGGCTTCTTCGTCTTCTTCTTGGTAGAGTTCGCATTTGTTGCACTCGGTACAACGAGCTCCCGGGTTGATGCGAAAGTGTTCGCAGAAATGTGTGTAGCCCTCTGGTTCTTCGAATTCTTCATCATCTATGTTGTGGTCATCGTTCTCTGGTTCATTGGCTGGGTTGACGTTTTCTTGTTGACGTTGTCTGGGGCGGAACCATTGGGGGGCTTTGGGTGGGGAGCTGAGGCCCTTGCGGCAGAGGTAACACATGGAGTATCCGCAGACGCAGGTTAGTTTGTTGCAGCCGGAGGATTTGACGAAGGACAGGCCGCAGCGGGGACATGTACGTTTCACTGCAGCTGTGCGGGCGGCCTCGACTGTGGCTCGTAGATCGAGTAAGAGGGGCTCAAAGCAGACATGCGGATCACGCCATGGTTTTTGGCATGTTATACAGCTGATGCGTTGGCATAATGGGTTTGCGCAGGTGAATCTCTTCGGCCGCACCTTAAGACACAGGTTTAGGAAAGAGTTGTGCAGGAAGTTCTGAACGGTGGAAGGGTCTAGGATGTAGAGAATGATCACAGGGATGACGAGTAAAGGTATCATGTCAAGGATCATGACGACAAGTATAATAGTAGAGATGATGCCATCCCGGCGAAAGCGCCAGGTGATCCCCTTCGCCGAGGGATGATAAACCGAATCAACCTCGGCGTACGAGCAAAAGGGACAACGAATGAGCTTCAGCTGAGACTTGAGCAGAGCGTCTGAGGCCAGCCGGCCTTCAAACTTGAGATAGGTCTCAATTCCGCCTTTGTCAAGGAGGATAGCTCGTTTAACGACCTCCGGATGCAAGCTCCCATTACAGCCATCATGGGCGAATGGGGTCAAACACTTCAGAGTCGACCGCTCCACGTCGACCGACTTCCCCCAACCCTGACCGAACAACGCCTCCTGGATCGTCCGCCGGATACAACCATAACAGATGATATGCATACTATCCGAACAAGTCGAGATTTGCTCGAACGTCACATCGGATAAACAACACTCGCATTCGTAAAGCGCATCAGCAGCCTTCGCCTCATCTTCATTCAGCTCCTCCGCCAGCCTGCGATCCCGATCCTCACACTCCACTTTCCTCGCGCTCAGCAGCGGCGCCAGCAAAGCATCATGCAATTCCCGATCCAACTCCACACACCCCGTTTCCTTTAACGCGGGGACCGTCTCTCCATTCGCATGCCGCTGCCACACAACCAAAGGACTCTCCTCCTTATCCTTCTTACTCTTAAAAGAAGGGAAAAGACTATTAAATGTCGCCCGCCACGTCCTCTTCGAAAGATCCCTTAACGTCGGCCTCGCCCTCACATAACAGAAATTCACTTCCGCCAGAACTGCATCAACCGTACTCTTGCTCAACCCGCTGAACTCTTTCAACAGTGCTGTCCTCACAGCAACCTTGTACTCAGTCGTCCGAAACCGTTCATACCGTGGAACCACTCCGTCCCCAGCCACCGGCACCACCTCAGCGTCATCCCCAGGAACATTCCACCGGCCGGCCACCCATTCCTCTTTATGACGCAAGAGCTGCTCAACACAGACATGCAGCCGGCTTTGCCCGTCAAACCGCACGAGTAATTCTCGGAAGACTTCGACCTTCACGTCCGGAAAAATCCGAGCAAGGGTTTCTAGGGCGTTGTTGAGTTCTTCTTGTTCGCGGTCCTGCTCTGCGGCTGAAGTAGAGGATGTAGGGATTAGACGTGAGCGCGAGGTGATCCCGAAGGGGTTGTTGCGGAGGGCTTCGCTGATGGTGGTGGACTGGTTGGTGTTGTTGGGGCGGAGGGGCGGAGGGGAGGCTGATGTTGATGTTGTTGTTGTTGGGGATTTGGAGAAGCTCGGGACAGATAGCGAAAGGACCATCGTTGCGTCGATGGGGCAGTCTGCTACATGATCGTCCTGAGGCGGGAAGAAGTTAAAGTAAGGGGGTATATACTGGAGAGCGTGAGTGCGCGGGAGGAATTGGAGAATTAATTGACTGCCTAGAGATAAGTGGAGTTGGAGTCATGGAGAGAGAGCGGAGGAGGTTTTGAATTAAATTGACAGCAGTCAATGGTATTGTGTTACGTTACATGACCGTACGACGGGCCCGATGTCCGTAGAATCTAGACCTTCCTACCCGTCACTGCCAAAACTTATAAATAAATCGATAGAAGTATATATTAGCGGACGACTAGTATATATCAGTGGGTAAACCTCTATCTACATTCTCAGACCATAGGAAACACCTATTTATCATACTCAAGACCAGCAGATATACTGCGTAATAATTATATGCTAATCTCGCTCTACATTACAATTTCAAGTTCAACAACCTTTAACCAACAATGGCGTATTATCGGGTTTTCTCGGATAGGTTTTAAGGAGACGTCGCTTTTTGGACAGTCTTCTGACAAATCCCTGAGGAACACGCTCCTTAGGGACATATCTCCCTCTCTGACAGTCAATGGATAGAACACATTAAAAAGCAACATGGTGAGGGACATCAGCGTGGTGTCAAAAATCCATATATAATACTCATGTTGCAGCAGAACATCTCCCTGGCCCCCTACATATTCGGCCAGGCGAAAGCTTGATCGAACAAAAACCATGACGCTTGCTATGTATAGCACCAGGAGATGCGATTGCCACGGCGTCGCGTACGAGGGTTTATGGGTCGCAATATGTCTTCGAATTCTGAAATGAAAGAAAGCGGCGCAGAAAAGGAAAAGACCAAAGAATATGACCTGCATGACCAAGCCGATTTTGATCAATCTCTCACCACTTGTAAAGCTGCTTTGGAGAGTAGCAGCACCTAAGTAGTAGAATGGGTTAGCAATCAGTCGTGCGAATGTGGTCAATGGAGAAGATGAGATGTAGGTAAGGGTTCAAACTGACCAGCCCCTTGAGCAAAAAAGAGACAATATCACCGATGAGAAACACTTTGGTAACCCAGCTGGGCCGAACAATGGCAAAAGTTCGCCTTCAGACCACACGATTATCCTCCCAAATACCATGTATATACTGGCTGCAAACAGCGAGGGTGCAACTAGGATCAAGAGAGTCTGCGCGATTGCGGGCGCTGACGCATAATTAGGAGCTTGGTGGGCCGAGAATGCGCGCTATAAGCAGAAAATGGCATATATCAGCACTGTGAAGACTTGACAATAAGAGTGAAAGTTGAGACTCACCGTAATGTACCCAAACACCTCAACTAGGAACTTTTAGTGCATCTTCCGCTCAGCCGTGCTCAAGCAAAGAGGACTTACACAATCCGCCTACGAGGAATGGAATTAAAAACCCTGCTCGTGATCTCCACAATTGCGCTGCATGTACTACTGTCGTCAAGGAAAAGAGTACAGCAAAAGTCACGGCTCCTGCAAAGGAGGGCACATAATCGTAGAGGCCCATATATTTTGGTGAAGACCATGTTTGAGATTGTAGAGATTTCCTATTGACAAAAGAATAAAAAGGTGCTATTCCGACAAAAGATTGGAAGAGAGATAATCAGGCGCGTTATTTGTCTTAAATATGCTCCCTTTTCAGTTAATATAGCAGTCCGATTTTTAAGAATGTACATATAAGATGCAATATGTCTGCCTGGACGCCATTACCGTTACCCACACACGATAAAGGGCGGCAGCAGCCCCTGAGTTTATTTCAAGTATATTTAGGTCCAGGTGTGAGTATCCACCCATAACCTAGTTAGGCCCCGTTGGATGTTTTTCAACTCGGACCATTGGGTCTATTAGCAGGCATTGGCTTGTATCCGGTTTCTATATTGTAGGCTACGAATCCTAGGGACCAAAACGCCCAACTCAGACCAGCTGGACACAACAATCCTCAGTCTAATTGCTCGTGCGCTTTTAGAGCATACATCTCCGACGATGCTGAAGACACCAAGTTCCTGCGGGACCACGCTTCAAACTGTCTTCCGGAAATAGGTGGGTCAGTGTCCACCTCCCATAGATCTAAATCTACATTAAAGTTGCAGAGCCGAGTTCTCCAGACCCACACAATTCCGATGCTTCTCCTCAAACGAAACAGAATTCTGGTTCTATATATGTATGTACTGATACTGCTGAATAGATTGTGCACTAATCGCATTTGGTGGGCGGGTCTGCAAGCATTGTACCTGACTCGACGGGTCTTAATCGACGAAGAGTTCTAAACCGCCTGAATAGCCGAGATGAGTAGACCTTGAAAATCGGATTTGAGTCATGATATTCCTGCTTAAATGTACATGACCTAGTGACCAGGTTTTTTCCATCAGGGACGGTGTAATCTGCTCAGGGCTCATGTGTGAGGGACGCAGTCTACTCCGTGTTGTAAGAGGACTTGATATTGTTCATTTTCTACAAATCCCGCTTCGACAATTCGAGGATCCTGTCTCATGATTTATATACTCTGACAGAGTGAAGTTGAACTCCATTCTTCGTCTGTTGTTGCGCAAGCTCCACAATGGGTGTCACCATGGGGTTCTCTTCTGCTCTTTTGCTTCGTATGCTGGCCTTTGCTTAGCTACTACCTGCGGAATACCCTCCCCTAATTTACCTGCATAGCTAGACGTTCAGTAGTTAGACTCGAACAAGTTATCCACCCTGAATGTTTCATAACCAGCCGCTCGTTTTAGCTGACCACTAGTTAAGTCGATCCCTTGTGCGAGCGAGCAGGGGACATCGATCCCAGCTTTCCAAGTTTCTTCACCGTTAGTTGTCTTGGTCCGCATAGTACTCTTACATTACTTCATAAAACAACCCTGTTCAAGCTCCCAGGACTGTCGATTTGGCATTTGGCTTGACTAGGCCGTAATAGTGGCTTATATAGAAATCTTTGTATTACCTTGAATGTTGAGACGTGAGGTGCTGAGTAAGTCAAGAGCTGAACTGCGGACCACACGTAGTGAGAAATTCTGGAATTACAAAAATCGAACTAATGCAGGCCCTAGGAGGATCTGGAGCTTGAGTTAGTAGTGGACCTATGGAAGGTTAGATTTAAATCTTATTTCCCCTTATCGTATGGTGGGGCCAATGTGTTCTTCACCTTAACATGGGTCTAAGTTGTTATTTATATCAAGGAACGAGGTCCTTGTGCAGGGTACACTACTTAAATCCTAACTTGGAAGACTTAGGTATAAGGTTTGTGAGATGGTGAATTAGATAAACCGAGTTGAAAAGTACGCATATTTTGAGATTCAATTTGCAGGAGATTGCTAAATTGGAAAGAAACAGAAAATCGTTATATCTATGTACACAATTTAATCACATCAGTGCGCCATCACGCAAAAAGTACTCGGTTCAATTATAATTTACAGTTTGGCCTTGGCCCCCTCCAGCAGCTCAACACCAGCGCCGCTGATGGCGGGCTTGCCAGTCTCCACAACGGTGGTCTGGAACAGGACGGTGTTGCCCTCCTTCCACATCTCGGTCCTCAGAGTCTGACCGGGCAGGACGACACCAGCGAATCGAACCTTGATGTTCTTGTAGGCACCGAACTTGCTGTAGACGTGCTTGCCGGAGACACCCAGAGAGCACAGACCGTGCAGGATAGGAGTCTTGAAGCCACCGACCTTGCTGAACTCAGGGTCAATGTGAAGTGGGTTGCGGTCACCGTTAAGACGGTACAGAGCAGCTTGGTCCTCGGAGGTCTTCTCCTCGACAACAGCATCCGGCTTGCGCTGAGGAGCCTTGTAGGCCGCAGTGGCTCCCTTGGGGCGGGCAGCGGTGGGCTTGGGGGATCCGCCAAAGCCGCCACTGCCACGGATGAAAACGGTGGACTCGTTGTAGAAGAGGTCCTCACCAGTCGTAGCGTCCTTAGTGGTGAAACCGGCAACCACGAGAGCAGCGGCGCCCTTGTCGACGACGTCAATGAGCTTGGGGAAGGTCAGGGTCTTGGCCTCGGTGGGGATGGGGAATTTGCGGATCTCCATGTACTGTTCACCGTGCAGCAGCATCATGGGGGAGAAGTTCTTCACAATGTCGTCCATGCTGTAAGGCACGGCGGTGTTGAACCAAGGGACCACACCGAAGGTGGGAAGAGCCTGGAAGTGCTCATTGTTCTCGTACACCAAAGGCAGGTCGGTGCGCTTGGCACCCAAGCTGAGGTTGTAGAGGATGATATCCCGGTCAACGTAGTCAAAGGCAGAACCGTCGGTGGTCGCCTGCTTAGCCTTCTCAATGTTGGCCAAGATGTCGTTGCCACCCTCGGAGGCATCACTGCGGTTGCCCATGTTGGCCATGACCTTCTCAGAACCAGCCTGGCTATCCTCGGGGTGGTCCGCACGGCCGTCGTCGAAGTTGGTGATCTTCTTCCAGTTCTTCACAACCTCCTCAGGAGTCAACTTGACGTCCACAGGGAAACCGTGACCGCCCGAACGCTGCCAGCGAGTGCTAGTGAACCAACCGCTGCCACACTCGTACAGGCCCTTGGTACCGGTTCCGGGGACAATGTCCGAGGACAGAAGAACCACGAGGGGAGCGACGTAGTCGGGCTTGAAGGCCTGGACCATCTCCTCAGGCATGATAGTACGGGTCATGTTGGTACCGGCGTTGGGGGCGATGGTGTTGACCTTAATGTTGTACTTCGCGCCCTCGATCGCGAGAGTACGGGAGAAACCGAGGATACCAAGTTTCGCCGCGGCGTAGTTGGCCTGGCCGAAGTTACCGTAAATACCGCTGGTGCTTGCGGTGTTGACGATACGACCATACTTCTGCTTGAGCATGTAAGGCCAAGCAGCCTTGGTAACCTTGTAGGTACCACGGAGGTGGACATTGACAACGGGGTTCCACAGGTCGTCGTTCATGTTGGTGAAAGCCTTGTCGCGCAGGATACCGGCGTTGTTGACCAGAATATCAATACGTCCGAAAGCATCGATGGCAGTCTTGACAACGGCGTCGCCATCCTCGCAGGAAGCCTTGTTACCGACAGCCTTGCCGCCCATCTTCTTGATCTCCTGCACAACGGGCTCAGGGTCGACCAGATCGTTCACCACCACAGAGGCGCCATACTTGGCAAAGAGCAGACAGTAGGCGCGTCCGAGACTAGAAAAGTGTTAGAAATAGTCATCGTCAAGCCGCGTTTTGAAACACATACCCGTTACCACCACCAGTGACAAGAGCAACCTTGCCCTTGAAGTCAGGCTCCTGGCCTGCAGGGGCGCTGGGGGTCTTCAAGCCCTGCTCCAAGAGGGTCATGAAGTCAGCAGGACCAGTCGGGTACTCGGGCTGAGAGAAGTCGTTGACATCGTTCCACTTCCTAGCAATAGCACCAGGGGTCAAGGAGTCGTCGGTCTTGAGCAGAGCACCCTTGGCACGCTCCCAGCGCAGCTTAGCAGCGTGGCCACCGCCGACTTCGTAGATTCCACCAGTCTCGGTTGTGTTAGAGGGGTGCACCAAAGCAGCGACCAAGGGGACAACCCATTCGGGCTTGAGGAGTTCCAGAACATCCTGAGGCATGATAGTGGCAGTCATGCGGCTAGCGGCTGTTCCAAGTCAGCATGCGTCAGAATCGACCATTCATGTTCTTTACATACCAATAGGAGCAATGACGTTGGCAATGATGTTGTACTTGGCACCCTCCTTAGCAAGGGTCTCGGTGAAACCGACCTGACCGAGCTTGGCCGCTAATTGTACTGTCAGCTTCTTGATCTCTGAATAGTCTCTGCTCATGGATACTCACCAGAGTAGTTGGCCTGGCCAAAGTTACCGAAAAGACCAGCAGCCGAGGCAGTGTTAATGACACGGCCATACTTCTGTTTCCGGAAATGAGGCCATGCGGCTCTTGCGCACTTGTATGCACCATAGGTGTGAACTTTGGTGATAAGGTCCCAGTCCTGGTCCTTCATGTTCTTAAAGCTGACATCCCGGAGAATACCGGCATTGTTAATGAGGACATCAACGCGGCCGAAGTTCTTGATGGCGGTATCAATAATAGCTTCACCGTTCTCAACGCTGTCGTAGTTGGCGACTGCCTTGCCTCCGGCAGCGCGGATCTCGTCGACGACCACATCGGCAGCCTATAGCAAAGACACCCAGGTTAGTGACTCTACTCCCAAGCTTGCATTTGACTATGGTTCGATTCGTACCTTAGACGACTTGCCCTCACCAGAGTGGGAACCACCCAAGTCGTTCACAACGACGTTTGCGCCCCTCGAGGCAAAGAAGGTAGCATAGGCCTTACCGAGACCACCGCCGGCTCCCGTCACAACGACGGTTTGGTTGTCAAAGCGCAGCTCAGACATCTTGTACGGGTATAATTAGAACAGAAAGGAAAGAAAAAAAAGCAAACACAGAGAATGTAATGACGTGGTGCCTCCGCACAGGATGTTTCAATAGTCTTGGGGAGGAAGGGAGAAGAGGGGAGGAGAGGAGGATAGACAAAGTATTCAAAGTTCAAGAATGATTTAGGGAGGTCAGTAGTAAGTTTAAGTATGAGGGGAAAGTCTGGGGGAGAGCAGAGTTGAAGAAGCCTTTGGATCTGGGGGAGTAAGTGGACGGTCGCGGTGCTCGGCAAGGACGTTATGGCTTTGGAACCTCGGCATCTTTTTGCTTGCTTTGAAGCTCGGAGGTTCCCACACAACCAAGCGGATCTAGGCAGATGATCCCTCCTTCACATGCCGATATATCTTTCCAGGATAGGGAACCCCCGTCTTTTTGTCGAGTGATTGTGTGTTCCTTATGCATATATTGTGTGCTTTAATAAAAAGATCTCCACTCAATAGATGTGTAGTTGCACTCACTGCAGGTGCACCTCTGTCGAGTCCTACAGCATGGGAATTTCCCTTGTCTGGCTGCCGACGCTAAGACTATGCATCTGGATTATTATGTAATCGACATAAACCATCACGATTAGTGCACAGACTAACCTCAATCAGGCAGTACATCACCTTGCTGACTCAGACATGTGATTCGACGTCATCATCACGTGTCGGTCATTAGATCGACGATCAAATGTTCAGTAATCTAAAAGGCAAGAGATTTAAATACGACCCTAAGTCCACCCGTGACGAGATCCTTAATGTTCAAAATACCTTTCGCAGTTCAAAGGCCACGACAATGGCCAGACCCATGGTTAATCCATCAGGCACAATATTAGTTCCCTCACCGCCCGGACATTCGAATCTCCAGGTTCTCTCCGCTTCGGCGCACCTCCGACATGCACTTTCCTTCTAGTTTAGTCCCCCATATAAAAGATAAACCACCCTCAACAAACGTAGCCATAGCCAGAGAAGATCAGACAGAAAATCAAAAACAGCACAGTAAACAAACCAAAGAGACCGATCCAAAATGCCCGAAATAATTGACGACAAATCCCAACACTGCATCCCGTTCCTCCTGGAGCGATTAAAAGCCCACCAAGAGCGATTCGGCAACGACCCGGCCAGAACCTCACCATTCTTTCTAGGGTTGAATGGCGTCCAGGGAGCCGGAAAGACGGTGTTGGTATGGATTTGATTGCGAGAAATAATAGTCTCATTCTGCTTGAAGTACGTTTAGATGGATATATCTAACGGTTATAATTCAAAATTAAAAAGGTGTCTACCCTACAATCGACTCTCCGTTCCCCGCCATACTCCCTCCCCGTCATCACCCTCTCGCTCGACGATCTATACCTCACCCATGAGGACCAGGTCAACCTCGCCAAGTCGCACCCTTTAAACCCACTACTGCAGCATCGCGGCCAACCGGGTACCCATGATCTGCCATTAGCCAAGGAGGTCTTTGAATCTCTCCGCGCGGGCCGAGCCACGGCTATTCCGCAGTATGATAAATCGGCGTTTGCGGGGCAGGGCGATCGCGTACCCGAGTCGCAATGGGAGACTGTTAATGGTGAGGGGCAGGAGCAGATAAAGGTAATCATTTTCGAGGGTTGGTGTGTAGGTTTCCGTGCGCTGAGTGATCAGCTCCTGTGCGAGACGTGGGATGATGCTGTTTTGCGGAAAGAGAAGGGTGACTATGATGGACGGCTGGGACATGTGCCGTTTGAGGCTGTCAAGGCTGTCAATGATGCGCTGAGGGAATACGATCTCATCACTGAGTGAGTTTAGGTTCCTTCGTTGTTGGATGTGAAGTAGGATGTATGAGGGCTAACGAATGATCCACTATAGTCAGTTGGATGCTTTGATTCATATGTAAGTTTTCCAGCTTGCGGATCTTACCGTTTACTTCAGTACCCGTCTGTGGAATCTAAACTGAGCTGCAGTGATGCCCAAGACCTACACTTCGTCTATGACTGGCGTCAGGAACAAGAAAGGACGCTCCTTGCTGCCAAAGGAACGGGTATGACCCCGGAACAGGTCACTCACTTCGTCAATGGCTGTACGCTATCCCGTGACTTTTCCCTCTATATGCAGAACAGTGTATAGAAAGAGTAGTATGCTAACTAAGCCAGATTACCCTTCATATGAACTGTTCACCGAAGGCCTCCGAGCAGGTACCTTCAGGCCTGTTCAACATACAACAACCTCATCTGAGGCTTCAGCAGACTGGCAGAACAGACAGCTTCATTTGATCGTCGACAAGAATCGAAAAGTCCAAGAAGTTCGCAAGATATAGGTAGGACTTCTTAGGTCCAAACCACATAGAATTGTTTATCAATGTCCCTTCAATATCAAATGAATTGTGAAATCTAATCGACAGGTAATACCATCATTCTAGGAGTCATCGTTCAAGAGATACTTGCTGCAATACCAATTCAATCCAATATATTAGCCAAATATATCCTACCGTCTGTCTGTGCAGATTCCCAACCACATATACAATGAATATCGACAGACATGGCCCGAAAGCAGATCAACCATCTCACTGGCCACGACGATCAACATTAGATGTCGTCACACGTAGATCTAAATCTATACCAAACGCCAGTTGGAAACCCAAACGCCGATGCCAACCTTAAAGAGGGTTGAGTGGAGAGTGGATAACAAAAGGATTAAGAAAGGCGATAAAGAGATAAACGCGCAAAAAAAGAAAAAAAAAAAAAAAAAAAAGGGCTGAGAACAGGGAGCAGGGAGAGCGATCACTTCTCCGTCCGCTCGAGATATTGCATCATAGCAGATCTCAACCGCACATTAGCCACACCTCCCACACCATACGCGGGTACGATCTTCCCCATCCGAGCAAAACAGCTGGGAATATAATCCCGACGAATACGCGATACCCGCTCGCGCCATCCCAATCCGCCCGGCGGTTGCCGGTTATACAGATCCAGACCGAGCAAGTGCATCGGTGTACTAGCGAATTGCATGAGGGCAGGACAGGAGAATTGAGCTATCGCTGCCTTCATCCCGGGTGTAGATGCAATATAATCGGGGATCGACGGCGCTATTAGCGTAGGGACGTTGAAAGAAGCGAAGATGGTGATGCTATCGCGCAGACAGAAGAGGGCATATGAGACTTTGGGTACTGTGGCAGCACCAGATGGGTGACAGGAGGCCGGGGCAGATGTCGTGCGCGCAGGTGTCGATGAGGGTGATGGTGTAGGCTTAGACTGTGCGCCAAATATCCGTGCGAACCTGGCATCCTTGTATACGCAGATTCCCATGTTCACCGTTGTCGTGGCGAGGAACTTAGCCGTTCCGGCAAATACGGAGGAGAACGGTTGGTTGCGCATGGTCGACGAGATCGTGTCAATGGCATTGGCAGTTAAATATGTCGATGTATAGAGGGTATATATAAGGAGAAACGGTGTACTGAGGAAGAAGCCCGTTGGATGACGAATCATAGACCCGAAACATGATGTGATCGTCTGTCGAATGGGAATGCCTTTGGACGCTTTCTCGATGATCGCACTGTCAGGCGGTTGATGTCAGACATTTGCAGCAAAGGACCAGCTAAATTGCACGCTTACCGATCGATAACAGTAATGACGGGACACGTCAAAGCTCCTGCTGTGGCAGCACTGGCGATATCCACGCCCAGTCGCGAACCTAATCGGCTGGTATTCCAAGTGGATGTTGGCCGCTCAGTGACAGCCTGCATGGAGAGAGCTCCATCAGGGGAGATCGCATTTCCCGGCATAATCTTCAATGGTGCAGAACGACAGTAGACTCGAAAATATCAAATATGAGTCAACGATAAAACCTCAACGGAATGCGACGCTAATGAGACGTCATGCAAACACCAATAGGGCAACTGTCGCGTAGGGGAAGGAAAGATCAAAACGAGAGATTAATCTAACCAAAAGTACAAAAACATCCTGCCGAAGCAGAAACTAATGGAGATCACATCTCAATTTCCGAGCGTAGGGGGAAAAGCAAGATGCTGACTCGCTGACTATCATCGCGGACGAGAATGGACCGGCCGATAAAGGCCTACCGGCGACTCGGAAACGCTCCGGTGCCGGCCGAGCGATCCCCCGGCAATTGTTCCCCAGGACTCGGATATACGTTTTATAACTCCTACACAGTTTTTCTGACCAAAACATTTTACCGCAGTATTGCCATGGGAACCTAGTTCGGAAAAACCACATATACGAAGTAGATACTGTTTCTTTTATAAAGCATCTTTTATGTATGTACTTTGTACAAGGAAAATTGTAGAAAAAATAGCAGAGGCTCCGAACGCCGCATCAATGTATCACCCGAGACATGCCCACGCACTTATTTTTCCGCCATGAGAACCCAAAAAGAAAACACGCAGGTACATTATGTATACGTAAATCAGTTGGTGGTCGTGTTCGCTTGGAAATCATCCAAGGTCAGGTTGACGGCTCCAGCTTGCACCAGCTGAAAAGAAATGGATTAGACCAAAAAATACCAACAAGGAATTTAAAAAGTGACAAACTTACCGCCCTTGTCAGATCGTCAATCAGATCATCTGCATCCTCAATACCAACACACAGGCGGATCAGATCCTCCGGCATGGCGCGCTCCTGGCGCGTCTTCGCATCGATACTAGCATGGCTCATCCGGCAAGGCATGCTGATCAAGCTGTTCACGCAGCCGAAGCTAACGCTGATAGCCCATAGCTTGGCACTCTCAACGATACGCTCACTCACACCGACATCACCCGTCTCGAATGACAGCACAGCTCCAGCTCCACGGGCCATCGAGTGGTGAAGGTCATATTGAGGGTGCGACCGCAGCCCAGGGTACCGGACCTTAAACCCATGGGACTCGAGGAATTCCGCAATACGCTGTGCGTTCGCTTGCTGCTGATCCATCCGTACCTTGAGGGTCTTCACTCCACGCATCAATAGCCAGGAATCGAACGGAGACAATCCGCAGCCTGAGGCATTGATGGGGAAGTACAAACGCTCGCCGAGAGCCAGGTCATTGACAGCGATCACACCAGCCATGAGATCGTGGTGACCCGACAAGTACTTCGTTCCACTCTCATAGACAATGTCGGCTCCCAGTTCGAGAGGGTTGAGCAACATCGGAGACATCATAGTGTTATCAACAGCCACAAGACAGGTGGAGTTCACCTCATGTGCGGCGGTAGCGATCTGGGGGATGTCGACGATCTTAATGAGGGGGTTGGTGGGCGTTTCGAGCAAGACCATAGCTGTCTTCTCGTTCAGCACTTCCCGCACCTTCTCCGGCTGGGTGGTGTCAACATGATGGACGATGATACCACCATTAGTCGACAGGTATTTAAGCAGCCGGTGTGTTCCACCGTAGAGGTCATCGCCGGTCACAACTTCGTCACCAGGGCGAAGCAGCCGAGTGATGACATCCAATGCAGCCATGCCGGAGGAAACCACCAGAGCACGCTGAGCAGACATGACCTTTGCTAGATGACGTTCCAGGTGCGTTCTAGTCGGATTGCCGGAGCGAGTATAATCATACTCTCCGCCTCCACCACCGGATGTCTGTTTGAAAGTGGCGCTCTGCAGCGATATTTGTTAGTACTGTTGGTACATTGATCACTTTGTCTCAATAGCAAGGTATGTTTCAAGGTCGCGAGGACGGTACCTGGTAGATGGGAACGCTGCTAGCGTTGTACTGGTCACCGCTGTCGGTATAGACGAGTTCTGTGGCAATTGCATAGCGCCTTCCGGTATGAGGACTAGATGGAGCAGGTGACGGAGGAAGATTGTGACCCTCGAGGTCTACGCTTGGGAACGCCTTTTTTGCTGGATTGGCTGCTGATGATGAAGCCGCGGGCGCGGCACCGGATCCTGAAGCCGACATCGCTGCGGGGATGAGCGGAGAGAGGGGTGCAAGGACGGAGATAAGGGTAGAGCACTGGAGAGGAGAGAGAAGCGAATACCTTAAGAGGATAGGGTACAGGAAAAATAAAAGGTATCACCAAATGATTGTCAAATCAATGGAAGGATGAAAGGGAGAAGAAGAAAGATAATATTTATTGTTCCCCGGAAGAGTCATTCAAGAAGCGCCCCGTCCTTCATTCTATCTTACCCGACACGGTAAGGATGGCCTCCCCACTCCTGCTCGTTCATTGGCTGACCCACGTAAGTGTCGATTTCGTCATTCGCCGCCTGAGGCAGAAATACAGAGTGGTTTCTTTTCCTTTTTATATCCTTTCCTTTATATTTCTATGTATGTACAGGGGCTCACCCTGAGCCCATCCAAATCCCTTTCACATGCAACTACTTGAAGAGAAAAAAAAAAAAAAAAAAAAGACAAGCCAAACTCGACATCACACAAACTCCTCATCCGTATGCCAGACACGGAACTGCCCTGGAACTATGTCCATGTAGCGATCATCTGCATGTCTGTGGCTGGGCCATTGTATAGCGCGAAGGCAGCTGCAAGTGGCGTTACCACAGATCTATAGACATGCGATTGTCAAAACCTCATCACACATCCATCAAGTAGTGCCAGGGAGATTCTTCCGGCAGTGCACCGCCAATGAGACAAGTCATCAACAGGGAAAGAGGCTCGGATAAATGCAGTAGCCTTTGAAAAGCAGAAAAAGAGATATTATACACTTGTCATGATGAAGGGTCGTCATCGCATATACATTCCGTATTCATGCTCAAGTTGACAGGTCGCCAAAGCTACCATTAATGCCGAAAAATTGGAACCTAGAAAATAGAAAATCATCAGTACGAGGAGAATCCAGTTGAATACAACTTGACATACCAGTCTTCCACGTTCAAAGTCGTCGGTGCGGTTGGTCCACTCCGGGAGCTATTACTCCAGGTGTCATCCTGGCTAGCGGCCTCCACCCCGGTATGCAGGGCTGCTTCTAAACCTGCCATCGGCCAAGGCTGCTGATTCTCCATTCCGAACACCTGTGGTGGCTGCTGACCTTGCATAGCCATCCCGGGGGGGATATTCGAAATGATCTCCGGGCTTCCTTGTGTTCCGGGAAGACCTCGGGAGGACATTTGATGAGGCATTATATGTCGCTGATCTATGCCTTGTGTCTGTAACTGAGACGACATCTGCAATTGTGGATCGACGGCATTGTGCTGCGGGGAAGTCAGCTCAGGAAAGATGGCAGTGCCATCCGGGAACAGCTGGTCGGGCTGGAAGTTCTCCCAAAGCGAAGGCGAAAGGTTGGGTGAAGTACGCGTGACAAGGAACAGGTCTGGTGGCGTTGCAGGAAGGGAAAACTGAGCATTGAATGGAGTTGTCGGCCGCGTATTACCCCGGGAGTTGCCTGCTGGAGGACCGGTAGGAGAGCCTTGGGGAACGTTCAATCCAGGTTGTCCCATTTCCCTTGAGGGAGTCACTGCAGGTGTCTGAGGCCGCGAGCGCTCATATGAAACTGGCGGTGTGGGACCCCCATTTGGCAAACCAAGGTCCATATCGTCGAACTTCCGCTTTGGCGGATCCGGTTTTCTTGGGGGCTGATGTTGGGCCGTGTTGTCGTGTCGTACCCTTTGGTGCCTTTTTCCTGCAGCTTTCTGGAGACGCTCCTCCAGAACTTTATTCCCCAAAATGGATTCGAACAGGGTACGGACCATCTTGGCCACAAGCCAGACTTTGGAAACATCTTTCAGAGCCTGCATACAGATATTGATTCTCTCCTGGCAGGTTGCCACAACCGTTGGCACAGATGATCGCATTTGGTAAACGTGCATGATCAGAGCCGAGAACAAGCTATACACACTGCGATACCGTGAGTATTTTGTGTATAAAAAGGACAGACTACCGAACTTACATGAAGGCTGGAGTATATCGAATCTCTTGATGCGTCTGCAAGTTCTCCATGATAGAAGTTATCATTCCAGCAGCTTGAAATGCGATCGTGCGCGAAGGGTAAGCCATCTCTTCTACGCGGTAACTATTTGGGGCAGACGAGGCTGGTGGCATGTGCGCCCTATGCAAAAGACAAAGTGTAGTGCTTTTGCCTGCGTTAGTCTGGTGTATAGAGTACCGGGGAGCTGTAAGACTTACTAATAGTTCGCATGAAGAAGGGCGGCCCAGAAATGATGATTCTGTCGTTGCCAACACACCTCTTTGGGACAGTTCTGCAGCCAGTCTGCCAACGCCATATCTGAGTGTGTCAGGTCCATAGCATTCATGCGTCTCGACTTCGAAGCCACAGAGTACTGCTGCGCAAGCACCAATCCCATGATCTCGCAGAGCTTCACATATTGCAGGAAGAACTGCACATGCACAGGGTCCGGCGGGTACTCGGCGGCTATATCAATCTCGTCTTCAATAAAATCGTCCTCGGTTAACATTCCAACGTCCGAGTCGTCTGTATTGATACCGATTGGGCGCCCCAAGGCCACTGCTACGGATCGGTCTCTCGTGAATAGAGTCCACCAGATTCGCTTCCACAGTCTTTTATCCGGCTTGCTCAGTTGGGATGATTCCACGCTGTGAAGGTCAGATGGTTGTCTATCATGTTTCAGTTGAGGACAACATACCTTCGGTGCATCCCTGACCCTTGTGCTACAACCATAGCCACTCTCGTCCAGTAGAAGACGTTTTTGGTAACGTCCTCCGGGCCCTCCCAGTACCAGCCCAGGAGTACCAACGCCTGAACAATCGTGACACGGTCATCTTCATAATTAGCGTCGTAGAGTGCTTTGGCCCGCTTGTAGAATGTCATGGCTGCTGGGGTTGTCGAGCCATTGGCATCCATCAACTGGGGGTTCGTACAGACTCTAGACCCAGCGAGCAGGATAGACTGAAGGAGCAGTAGGGACGGTGGATTCTTGGGGTCGCGGTAGTGCCGCATGAAACGGCTGCGATTAACAATGGGAACTACGGGGGCGACCCATTTAAAGTAGGCATCGACGAGTTCATCACAAAGAGGTTTTGGCGGCAAAAGGAAAGCACCACGCTGATGAAGTATATCCAGTTCCAGGTTATCCAGATCTGCCAGTCTAGCACGAGAGCCTCGAACATTGGGCGGGAGGGGATAGTGTACGACGTCCGTCGTTCCATGGCGGTCCTGCACCAGGAGCGAAAGATTCGAGGACTCGCCGAGGTAAGCGACCCGGCCAGCTTCTTTTATCGGGGCACGCGCAAACTTTGGCTTCATAAATTGGGCATACGCTCCATTCTGTGTGGCTTGCTGAGCGGCCTGCGACTCTGTGAGTGATGTAACAGGCATACCGTCGACGGCCATTCGATTACTGGAATAACCGAAGGCATCCTTGCCGTCCGTCGTTGACTGCTCGTCCTTGGGTGTTTCTTTCTGGGGATTATCTTCGCTACTATTCATTTCCATGCCGAATCAGTAGATGTTGGGGTCAAGTCGGTAGCGAATCGATATACGAGGTGTTTGGGAACATACCCGGAGCTCTCCTTAGCTTTTGTTTGGTTCTTCTTGCGTTTCGGCGTGGGGATCTTGCACTCGATCGAAAAGGCTACACAGTTGGTGCATGGCACACCTAGACTGGCAGCATCGCAGCGTACCTGTGGGTAAATGACGCGATTAGCGATCTCTTGTGCTGCAGAGACCTAGCAGGGCGGGCGGGTAACACCGGAAGGAATGGGAACCGAAAAAAGGAAGAAATTCAGTCTTGACAAGGGGGCACTTACTTTTCGAGCGTGGCATGTCTTCACGAGATAAGAAAAAGACGTTAGCAAACAATATGTTCAAATAGAGCCATTATCGTGGTTGCGTTATGCTCCCATCACCAGGATTGCCTGATAGATAGATAGCATGATAGGGGGCCAGCAAGCAAAGCTGCGATGTGCCGAGGTGCCGAGGCTTTCACAGGTCGCGTCGAGACCTCATAAGAACAAAGAGACATACCTCACAAGCACGCGACGCACGTTGTCTATTGAAACAGCGATTAGATAAATCTGATTAGCATCCATTTGTACTCCTTTAAAATCTCGACCGCTCCCATCCACCCAGGGACCTCCGCAACTTCAAATCTGGTGGTCTGCGACCATCCCCTCGTGCGCTGCAGCCCCGCGACAGCGCAGAAACCCACACTTGGTAAACCACTCCAGGGCAAAGGAAATCTCATCACACACACACCTTCTGAAACTCATGTGTCCGTTTGGGCCCGCTCGCACTGTAATACCTGAAGTTCCCGTTGAGCCCGTGGCGCTCGGGGCCGGGCTTGGTCTGGAAGTAGAATCTGTATGGTTTTCTCCTGTTGTGCTCATGGCCAAAAAGTATCCATGCAGAGAAAACGCGACCGAAAGACGTTCGGAGCGACGAGGGCGATAATATAGGGATTGGGTATATAGCCAAGGTTATAGCAAATAAAAATAATGTAATAAATCCCGAATTGGGAAAGTAAGAAAAAAAAGAAGAAAATTACAAGGAACCAAAAGATGTGCCTTGACCACTCTTGTTGTCCCCTTCTTGCCTTTTCTCAACGCTTTTTCTTCTTGCTCAGCTGTTACTGGGGGGGGTAAGTAAAAGTACTAAGGAAATTCACGGGTCGAAGGTCGCCGCCACCCGAATAATGGATGCGATGCGATCGAGTGAAAAGGGTAAGGTAGGGAAAATGGAGAGGGCACGGGAGACCGAGAATCAATCAAGTAGGAGGGTGGGAATATGTGGACAGAGAATTTCCCGGGAAAAGGTCAAAGGGTTGTCAGGAACCTGAAATTCTATAGACACGATTGTGGTAGTAATGAATTGGACTGGCGAATTAATTGATTTGGGAGGGTAGAGAGAGAGAGAGAGAGAGGGCAAACAGCCAAAAAGAGTCAGGTCAGGTTCCAAAAAATGAAGGATGGAGAACAAAGGGCGCGCGCGCGCGAGAGAGAGAGAGAGAGTATACTCCGTTCTGGATGGTGGCAGAAGGACACGAGCGGGGAGTGGCAATAATACCATCAGCAGTCTGAACGGTGGACTTGAGGCGGATCATCCATCCCGGAAATAGATGATGTGGAGAAGGGTGATTAGTATTACTTCGTTTCCAGTTGCTAAACGGGTGAACTACTGCTGCACTAAAGTCTTGATGGTTGGCAAATCTCTCGGTAGCGCCGGAGAACTAACCTAAGGATCCAGAAAACGACCAGGGTCCATGTC